GAGTGTCAAGGGTCGTGGTGGAGTGTCAGGGATCATGGTAGGTGTCGGGGGTCGTGGTGGAGTATTAGGGGTCGTGGTGCAGTGTCGGGGGTCGTGGTGGAGTATTAGGGGTCGTGGTGGAGTGTCGGGGGGTCGTGGTGGAGTGTCAGGGGTCGTGGTGGAGTGTTAGGGGTCGTGGTGGACTGTCAGGGGTCGTGGTGGAGTGTCAAGGGTCGTGGTGGAGTATCAGGGATCATGGTAGGGTGTCGGGGGTTGTGGTGGAGTATTAGGGGTCGTGGTGCAGTGTCGGGGGTCGTGGTGGAGTATTAGGGGTCGTGGTGGAGTGTCGGGGGGTCGTGGTGGAGTGTCAGGGGTCGTGGTGGACTGTCAGGGGGTCGTGGTGGAGTGTCAGGGGTCGTGGTGGACTGTCAGGGGGTCGTGGTGGAGTGTCAGGGGTCGTGGTGGAGTGTCAGGGGTCGTGGTGGAGTGTCAGGGGTCGTGGTGGAGTGTCAGGGGTCGTGGTGGAGTGTCAGGGGTCGCGGTGGAGTGTCAAGGGTCGTGGTGGAGTGTCAAGGGTCGTGGTGGAGTGTCAGGGGTCGTGGTGGAGTGTCTGGGGTCGTGGTGGAGTGTCAGGGGTCGTAGTGAAGTGTCAGGGGTCGTGATGGAATGTCGGGAGTCGTGGTGGAGTGTCGGGGGTCGTGGTAGAGTGTCAGGGGTCGTGGGGGGGGGGTGTCGCGGGTCGTGGTGGGGTGTCGGGGGTCGTGATGGAGTGTCAGGGGTCGCGGTGGAGTGTCAGGGGTCGTGAGGGGGGGTGTCGCGGGTCGTGGTGGAGTGTCAGGGGTCGTGGGGGGGGTCGGGGGTCGTGAAGTGTAAGGGGTCGTGATGGAGTGTCAGGGGTCTTGGTGGAGTGTCGGGGGTCGTGGTGGGGTGTCGGGGTCGTGGTGGAGTGTTAGGGGTCGTGGTGCAGTGTCAGGGGTCGTGGGGGGGGGGGGGTCGGGGGTCGTGAAGTGTAAGGGGTCGTGATTTAGTGTCGGGGGTCGTGGTGGGGTGTCAGGGGCCGTGGTGGGGTGTCGGGGTCGTGGTGGAGTGTCGGGGGTCGTGGTGGGGTGTCAGGGGCCGTGGTGGGGTGTCGGGGTCGTGATGGAGTGTCGGGGGTCGTGGTGGAGTGTCAGGGGTCGTGGGGGGGGGGTCGAATTTTTTTTAATTTTGCCCCGAGGGGCGAGTTTATTGGGCAGCGCCACTCATCTTGTGAGTGGACATACCGCCATAGCAGCATGTACAACACTCCCCAATAGGAAGAAAACCCGCTGGGTTGTTCATCCTGTCACTTGTACCCAGACACAGCTGGGACTTGCTTAACTGTCTCAAGTGAACAGCTCCTCAAACAAGAAGATTAACATCTATCAACCCTTAAAAGCTTACGTTATCTTGCGGGTGCAAAATGGGGAAATCTTTTAAGAACAGTATCAATATTTGACAAATAGTGTTTTCCTAACTCAAACAATGTGGGGTTTATTATTCTACACATACTTCTGATGTCTCTCAGGTGTTCACATTCACGTAGATAGTGGTCAAGGCGGTGTCCATCACTCTCACCACAGATTCTGCATGGGAGGGGATCCACAGAAACTTGATGACTCTTCCCTGATTGGTAAGTACTCTCACAGCTCTCTTAATTTCAGCGACTATTGCAAGATTTTCTGCCCGATTTTTACTTAGGCTTTGCAGTGCTGCTTTTGAATCGGTGCAAATCACTGCACCATTAGTGTTCCGTTCAAGAAACCTTAACGCCATAACAATGGCAGTTACCTCTGCTTGCGTTGAAGAAGCATAGTTCTCAATACGTGCTTTTTCTTCATTTCTGCGTTGGAAAGTATTTTTCTTGATTACCGTGTATGCTGCACCAGCCCTGCCATTGACAGGATTAGATGACCCGTCAGTGTAGATTTGATCTAGTTCATCTCCGGCTTCTTTATAAATTTCCTCGAGATACTTATGCTTCATTTCTTGTGGTAACATGTTGGACTTTTTCATTGCCATTTCATTGATGATGATCTTGCATGAGTCATCCTCCCAGGGAGGTAACCTCTATACAGGCAGGAGCTCACGGGCTTGCTCAAGCAGGTGAAGCTCTTCGAGGTAGCAGACTGATCTGTGATGCCATTTTTTGCTTCTCCTGTTTCCTGCTGAAAGTAGCACAGAGCTCAGTTTTTCTTAGCAATATCATTGTAATGGGGATCTCTGGCTATACTAATTGCAAGCTTAGCATTCAGCTCCTTAATTCTGCTTTTAACACTGGGAAAGGACAACTCCTCTCGTAGATTAGACGTTTTGGCAGTTCTTGGAACTCCAAGAATGATTGTCATGGCTTCATTTTGAATGCTTTCAAGCCTTTTCATATCGCTTTGGGAGTAGGTGCACAGAACTGGTGCGGCATAGTCTATGACGAAGCGCACATAGGCTGTGTACATCATTTTAAGCACGGCAATAGAGGTTCCATATCCATTCCAGGTCATAGCTTTCAGTGCCCTGAGTCGACTTTTGCATGTTCCTATGAGTTGATTGAGCTCCTCTTTCTTTCCCTTGTTAGAGCCGACAGTGACGCCAAGGTACCGATAGTGGTCAACCCATTCAAGTGTTACACCATTAATTTGCAGTTCTTCATTTGCTCTCCGCTTGTGATGAGAGTATGCCTTCGTCTTGTTTGTGGAGAGAGTGAAACCGAGTTCAATACATTTCCTTCCAAGGAGTTCAATGGACTGTTCAATTTTTCCCAAGGTGGGAGCTTGTATTAGGACATCATCTGCATATCCCACTTGTTGTGTTCCTTCCGGAAAATCAATATTTGCAATGGCGTTCATAAGTACATTGAATAGTGTAGGGCTTAAGACTCCGCCTTGGGGGGTCCCGAGTTTCATATTCATTGTTCTGGAGACTGCTTCATTGAAGCAAACCTTGGCTTTCCTTCCTGTGAGGTAGTCTTCAACCCATTTCATGAGTTTCTGTAACATCACTATAATGGAACACCACTATAATGTATACTAAACTAATAAATGTAAACACTACTACTTATCCTGAGTAACACTTCCTATCGGTTGCACTTGGGAACACAGTTATTGAACGCTGTAATATGAGCTGACATATGATGGCTACACCGGAACCAAAAGGTACACTGCCAACAAGGAAATGCTACACACGATTAAAAACGCTGCCACCATCTGCCTTTGATCATTGAGACTATATCAAGCAACGAGGCAAGAAACATTGCTTGACTTGGAGAGTACTTTCTATGACTGTCATTAATTATGGGACAGTTGTCAGCCCACTATAACCAAAAGGCTAAGAGGATTCAACAATTGACACAGATGGGAAATTTAACAAAAGTCTATTGAGATACCAAATTATACTAAACACCACTATAAATCCTACTCTAACACTGGCCAATAGTTAAGAAATTTAGACATGGAACAAAACCTCAGAGATCACACACATTACCTTAAGACCTCTGTCTCTCCCTGGCTGTGAGATGTTCTTCACAGACCCGCTCTCGATCCCGGTGTCCCGCTCTCTGTCCCTAAGTCTCTACAGGACCAATATATATACACCCCCCCCCCAAAAAAAGGGGGGAAGGGGGAGATTTGCTGTTGCTACCTAGATCGAAAAGAGGTCGGCCACACGTGCACAAACACTCAAGAATTTTCATTAAACTTGTTTGACATTCACCATACACTGTTCAAGAGAGGAATTATTAATTACGTGTGTGACTGACCTTTGACCTGGCTAAAAGGGGGAGATCCATGGATGTTTACACATAAGAATCTGGGGTCTAATTCCATTGCAATGTTTGACAAGAGTATCATGAAATATTACATACTTGAAACTAGCTGACTAAGACTAACCCAGGAATTTTTTTAATCAACATACAAGATAATCCAGAGGTCATCTGGGCTGACCTCTTGGAGAAGGCTTCCCTGGGTGTGAACTCTAAGGGGGGGGGGGGGTCATGGGTGTTACATCTCCCCTTGACACCCATGCATGCAAGCTCGTCCAGGATCCCAATCCCCTGTGCTTTGTCGAAGGCTCCTTTGATGTCAACAAATACAGAGTACCTAGCCCTGTCATTAGCCAAGTAATTAACTATACAATTTGCTGTGCTCCGTCCTTTAACAAATCCATTGACCCCCTCCCCTAACCTGCCTATTTTGTGCAACAATCGGTTTAGGATGATCCTTTCAAGCATCTTGCAAGTGCATGACACGAGACTGATAGGTCTGTAATTACCAGGGTCATTGGGCTTCGGTATGGGAATAATTATTGCGTGTTTCCATGGTGTGGGCAGCACTCCACTTAGGAATGACTTGTTAAACAGGTGGAGTAGTGGATTCCCAGACACACAGTGCATTGAGTATGTCGTAGGTGACGCCATCTTCACCAGATGCTGTACTTTTACCCTTTTTCATAGCGCCCCTTACTTCTTGGGCTGTGATTGGTTCCCCATACTCGTCATCACTAGACAGTGCTCTTGTTATCCTAATTGTAGTAGCTACAGTATACCAGTTGGTTATACCAGTGTTAGTCCTGTGTCATAATATAACCACAACATACTAGATGGTTATACCAAAGTATAACCTCTGCATATTAATATAACCACAGCATACTAAAAGGTTATACCAGAGTATAACCTCTGCATATTAATATAACCACAGTATACTAAATGGTTACACCAGAGTATAATCTCTGCATTATAATATAACCACAGCATACTAGATGGTTATAACAGAGCATAACCTGTGTTATAACCACGTCATGCTAGATGATTATACCAGAGTATAACCTCCACATTATAATATAGCCACATTATGCTAGATGGTTATGCCAGAGGATAACCTTCGCCATATAATATAACCACAGCATACTAGATGGTTATACCAGAGTATAACCTCTGTGTTGTAGTATAACCACAGCATACTAGAGGGTTATACCAGAGTATACGCGTTAACAATGTTTCCACCACCTGACAGGACCACGATGGATCAGCTGATGAGCGAGATGAAACAGCTGGACGCAAGGATATCCAAGCTTTCCACCCAGCTGCACAGTCCCTCCACACCCAGGGACATCACCCTCCAGATGGGTGACTTCCTCCAGGTGAGTGACGTCCTCCACACCCAGGGACATCACCCTCCAGATGGGTGTCTTCCTCCAGGTGAGTGACGTCCTCCACACCCAGGGGCATCACTCTCCAGATGGGTGACTTCCTCCAGGTGAGTGACGTCCTCCACACCCAGGGACATCACCCTCCAGATGGGTGTCTTCCTCCAGGTGAGTGACGTCCTCCACACCCAGGGGCATCACTCTCTAAATGGGTGACTTCCTCCTCCAGGTGAGTGATGTCCTCCACACCCAAGGGCATCACTCTCCAGATGGGTGACTTCCTCCAGGTGTGTGACGTCCACCACTCACCCAGGGGCATCACTCTCCAGATGGGTGACTTCCTCCTCCAGGTGAGTGACGTCCTCCACACCCAGGGGCATCACTCTCCAGATGGGTGACTTCCTCCAGGTGAGTGACGTCCACCACACCCAGGGGCATCACTCTCCAGATGGGTGACTTTCTCAGATGGGTGACTTTCTCAGGTGGGTGACTTTCTCAGGTGGGTGACTTTCTCAGGTGGGTGACTTTCTCAGGTGGGTGACTTTCTCAGGTGGGTGACTTTCTCAGATGGGTGACTTTCTCAGGTGGGTGACTTTCTCAGGTGGGTGACTTTCTCAGATGGGTGACTTCCTTCAGGTGGGTGACTTCCTTCTGGTGGGGGATTCAGGGCTGCGAGTGAAGACTTCTAGGTGGGTGATTTTTTATTTTAGGTGGATGATTTCTTGTTATAGATGTGGGGTGATTTTCTTCTATGTTGGGTGATTTTTTTCTTCTTGCATGTGGGAAAATTTTTTCTTCTAGGTCGGTGATTTCTTCTTCTAGATGGGTGATTTCTTCTTCAATGTGGGTGATTTCTTCTTCTAGTTGGATGGTTTTATCGTCTAGGTGGGTGGTTTCATCGTCTAGGATTTCTTGAGGTTATCTTGAGATGATTTCGGGGCTTAGTGTCCCCGCGGCTTGATCCTCGACCAGGCCTCCTTTTGGTCACACACCCCCAGGAAGCAGCCCGTAGCAGCTGTCTAACTCCTAGGTACCTATTTACTGCTAGGTAACAGAGGCATCAGGGTGAAAGAAACTCTGCCCATTTGTTTCTGCCTCCACTGGAGATCGAACCCGGAACCTCAGGACTACGATTCCGAAGTGCTGTCTACTCAGCTATTAGGCCCCTTGGGGATTGGTGGGTGATTTCTTCGTCTAGGTGGGTAAAATCTTCTCTATGTTTTTTTTCTTTGAGATGTGTAAGATTTTCTCTGAAGGAGGAATGAATGATCTCCCTAAAGTGGGCAACTGCTTCCTAAAGTGGGCAGCTGCTCCCTAAAGTGGGCAGCTGCTCCCTAAAGTGGGCAGCTGCTCCCTAAAGTGGGCAGCTGCTCCCTAAAGTGGGCAGCTGCTCCCTAAAGTGGGCAGCTGCTCCCTAAAGTGGGCAGCTGCTCCCTAAAGTGGGCAGCTGCTCCCTAAAGTGGGCAGCTGCTTCCTAAAGTGGGCAGCTGCTTCCTAAAGTGGGCAGCTGCTCCCTAAAGTGGGCAGCTGCTTCCTTAAAGTGGGCAGCTGTTTCCTTAAAACAGTCTTAAAGAGCACAGTTTTCTCTTTAAAGTGGAAAGTTTTTCTTTAAGATGGGCATCTTTTGTCTTAGGGTGGGAAATTGTTTCTTTAATTACTTTTTTTCTATGGTAGATGTCTTTTCCCAGGAAGGTGACTATCCTTGAGGAGGGCAGGTTGTCCTCAGGAGGATGTCTCACTACCCAGGTGGATGGCTTTTTCTGTAGTGAATTATTATTCCCCCCAGATGGGTGACTTTGTTACTAGTACTTGTTACAAAATAAAGACAAATTATTACAAATGTTGTAAGAAGTCTTACGGTGGGTGACTTTTACCCATGCGAGTCATTTTTGTATTAGGTGGGTTATTTTTCTCCTAGGTCCCCCTCCCCGCTCAGCTCGTTGTCGCCGTGTGGGGGCTTAGTGGGCGGCTGTGTGATGCATCGGAGTGTGATGCTCCTTGGGACGGTCCTCTGTCCTATTCTAGCCTTGTGCTCCTGCTGCCGTCCTCTCCAATTCTGCTGGGCATCTTTTCCTTTTCCTTCCTGTTTCGTTTTTCTCCCCCCTCTTCTCCTATCTGCTTGCCGTTTCCTGCCGACCTTTTGCTCGTTCTGGTTCTTCCCTTGGACTTCTTCTATGTTGACGCCCGGGTGCTTGAGGAGGCATACTCTTGCACCCGTAGAACTGTAGTACCCGACGTCGAGAGCGAGGGGAACCTTTTATTGTCAATCCCCCTTTCGTCACTGAACCCGATCTCGACGGAATGTCGGTTTCTTAAGGTGGCGTTTGTGGGGCGTATACTCACGACGCACCCCTAGGAGGCCCCGGCAAAATCGGCGATAGCTTCTTGTTGGGTGTCCTGCCTCTAATTGTGGCTCCATGGTGGGTGTGGGGGCACATTCGTGAATGAATTCTTCTTTTCGTCAAGATGATAACCCCTGTTTTGGCTGCTTCTGGTTTACCTTCTCAGGCTCGTGGGGTGGGCGACCAAGCCCCCGAGTCGGTCCGTATTGGAAGACCGGGCTCTGTAGCCTCCGCTGCATTGGGCCCCGACCTTGCTCCTCCTTTGGCCTCTCTGACTCCTTCCCTCCTCTGTGGTTGGGTCGAGCCCCAAGCCCCCAGTGGTGACTACCTCGTCCCCTGGCGCGGCTCCTTCTCTAGTTGTAACTACTGCGCCTTTTAACCCCTCTCTCTCTGGGGGTTCTCACCGCCGTCCTCGTCACGGCCGCCCTCGCTCGATTCCTTCCAGTTCTGCTACCTATCAAGCCTTGTTTGGTCCCGCTTCGTGGGCCAAATATTTTGTTCTCCTCCCTCTTGATTCTGCACCTCCTGACGATTTCTCCCTCCATCGACATCTCGTTGATTCTGTGGATGCCTCCATTACTTTCAACCCCACTCGTCTTGGTACACGTGTCGTTGCTGCTCCTTCTCAGGATGCTGCTTCCCGCTTGGCTGCCTTATCCTGCCTTGGCGAGACCCCTGTTCGGGTCTCAAAGAACGCTCAGTTGAATGCCAGTGTTGGCACTATTTTGCTCCCGCCCCATGTTGCGACCGGTATTCGGGACCTGCGCGACTGCCACGACGATATTCGACATGTCCTTGCTGCCCAGGGCCATTCTATTCTCCAGGTGGACACGTTTACTCGTCCCCCTCGTGGTAGTCGCCGTCAACCCCTCCGGGTTGTGAAGATTACCTTTGATGGTAGGACCCTTCCATCCTCTGTCATTCTTGCTGGTGCCAGGTGCTCTGTCCAGGAGTACATTCCTTCTCCTCGGCTCTGCAACAAGTGCTGGAGGTTCGGGCATGGTGCCCTCCGCTGTTCCGGGACTGTCTCTCTCTGTCCTTTGTGTGGTGGCGAAGGTTACTCTAAGTCGGAGTGCACTTCTCCCCAGGCTCGTTGCCTCAACTGCGGTGAGGCCCATCCTGCCTTCTCCCGTGCGTGTGTCCATTACAAGCTTGAGGCAGCCGTCCTCAACTTGAAGCACCGGGAGCGTTTATCTTTTCCTGAGGCGAGACGCCAGGTTCGCCGGCTCCCGCCTTATGCTAATATCTCTTATGCTCGCGTGTTGCGCTCTTCCTCTCCTCGTCCTTCCCGCCTTCCTCAGACTCACAACCGTTTCCGGGCCTTGGACCCTGATGTGCCCACTGCCCCCTCCTCTGTTCCTTTGGGTTCTCTCCCGAAGGATCCTCCTCCTGGTCCTCTGTCTGGGGTTCCCCTTCCTTCTACCCGGTCTGTCGTGTCTCCTGTGTCTTCTTCCTCGTCTCCCTCCGTTCCTCCTTCCCATCCTTCCCCTCCGTCTCTTGACTCTCCCCGCCGCCTGTCGGTGCGGGCTGATGTCCATCGCTCTCCGAAAGGTTTCGCTTTCTTCCTCGGCCCCTACTTCTGCCTTTCTCGCTCCTTCCCCTCCCATTTCGGTGGTTGCGCCCCTTGTTCCTGCTATGGAGGTTTCTTTAGCCCCCGCTTCCCTCTCAGTTGCTGCCCTTGCTGAGGTACTCTCCCCTCATTCTACCCCTCCTCTTCCTGCTGCTGTCCTTGCCTGCTCCTCTCCGTTGTCTCCTCTTCCTCCTCCTCCGGACCCCGCCCGCCCACCTCTGATCTGTTCTCCCGTTTCCTTCCCTCCGTCTTTGCTCAGTTTACCCATGCCCCCTAACCCTGACTTTGCTGACCCTGATCCCGACCCTGATATTCTTTAACGTGCTCTGTTGCTCTTTCGCCTTTGTTTCTTCCTTGTTCTCTGTTTTTGTCCTTTCTCTTCTCGTCGTTGTCCATTCTTCAATGGAACGTTCGAGGTTATTACGCCAATTTCCTCGAACTCCAACTTCTGATTTCGCGGTTTTCGCCCCTTTGTGTCTGTCTCCAGGAGCCAATGCTTGGTGCTCGTCCTGGTCGTTTTCGTGGCTATTCCTTTCTCTCCCCCCCCCCCCCCAGCCATTGCTGGGGCTTCTAATTCTTCTGCTCTCTTGATTCGTGCTGATGTTCCCTTTGTTCCTTTGCTTTTTCCTTCGCCTCTCCATTGTTCTGCTGCTCGTATCTTTGTGGAGAAATGGTACACAGTTTGTTCCATTTATCTCCCCCCGAGTGTCCTGCTCTCTCTTCCTGATTTGAAACACCTCCTAGACTCCTTGCCGGAGCCTGTGCTCCTGCTGGGTGACTTCAATTGTCGTCATTCTTTTTGGGGTGACGTTCTGACGAATACCCGGGGTCGCCTCCTTGAGCCGTTTCTCCTCTCTTCTTCCCTGTCTCTTCTGAATTCTGGTGAGCCCACTCATTTGGACTCTCGGACTCGCACCCTTTCCTGTGTTGATCTTTCTCTTTGCTCATCTTCTCTTTACTTAGATTTCACGTGGCAGGTTCTTGATGACCTCCATGGCAGTGACCATTTCCCCATCCTTGTTTCCTTTTTTCTCTTTTCGTCCTTCCCTCTCCTTCCCTAGATGGCAGTTTGCTAAAGCGGA